CCAAGCAGAAAGCTCAGGAAAATGACTGCGCTGGAGTGATTTCAGGAATGATTGATTCTGATCTGCATGGGTCACTGTGTCTTTATGCAGGTTCAGCGCATTGGGTTTGAGGGCCAAAACTCTAAAAAATTCAATGTGGTCTTTGGATAAGGTTTCAAAAATATATCCCATCAACTGAGCAGTGCTGGCAGGCGGAGCAGACCAAAAGGTCGAAACCTTGGAAGGATGAGCCTCGCTGTGAAGTTTGGAGCAGAGCTGGAGATTTCTGGCCTGAGATGGTTCACCCCATGCTGAGAAGCACAGCATAAAAAGTGACTTTTATAACTCGATGGACTGTTGATGTTTTAAAACATTGTGAAAGTGAAAAAGAGGCTGTGCTTTACATAATAAAGACGCTTGACAAAATATTTCAAGCCAAATGTAATCTTTATTTTTCTGTTTCTGTACAAAAAGCACGGGATCACAGGAAAAAAAAAGAAATAAAAACGAAGGAAAAACATGCATTTATTTACAGCATGGTCAAAGAGAAAAAAGGAAAGTAGAATACATCTCCCTTTCTGAATTCTAAAGACATTAATTAAACATTGTGCTTTGATATATTTTGATATAATATTTCATATTTCACAAAGATGCATCACCTTTCTCCATTTCACCTCGAAGTCAACATTTCCAAAGAAAACAGGTTTTGAAAAAGAAAACAGAAGCCAGCTCTCTACATCTATGACAAAAAACCTTTCACAAGCTATTAGGAAACTGAATGCATGGGTGAAATGGATGGACACGTGTGTGTGTGTGTGTGTGTGTGTGTGTGTGTGTGTGTGTGTGTTTTTGGAGATAGCAGGCAGATTTCCTGTTCATGAGCAAAAGCTTTGATACAAGCTCTGCTGCCCAATGCCATCAAAGGCTCTGTGAAGACCCACAAGATAAAGATACAGGACTTCAATAACTCACTGACTCTTTACTATATGAACAAAAGCACACTCTGGTGAGCATGCTCACATCATGTCCATTTCTTAATTACACAAGCATTATGATGTATGCATTGAAACCCTCACTACGGAACGTTCATATGTGAAGAAATTGTTTTTGTACTATTTAGTTATAAGCATAAACCTCTAAAAAAAATTTTGATTTATGCTTAAATCAGTGTGCCAAATAGTAATAAGAAAAACAAGTTAATTCAAGTTCTATTGTCCTAATTAATGCTGTTCAGTTGCTTTGACACAATCTGTATTGTTAAAAGCGCTATATAAATAAAGGTGACTTGACTTGACTTGACCTGACTATTGAGTTCTATTAAGTGGGCTTTACCAAAAAATGTCATTTTAAAATGTGCGTGTGTGTGTGTGTGTGTGTTTTTCTTAATGTCTACATGAAATCAAAATTTACTATATTTTTGTGGTAAACAATTCATCCGTGCAAGTCAATCCACACACACACACACACACACACACAAAATAAAAAATAAAAATAAATAGTTTGCCTTTGTAATCTTTAATCCAAATCTGAAAATGCACCTCCCCTCTGAAATGACAGACCTTCTCTGGTGACATCAGTTTGACAGCTTGGGCTTGAGCATAACATCCTTAAACACGTCACTTCACTCAGTGTTTCTAAGGAGATGTGTAAAGCTGTTGATACTGCTTTGTTTAATTTTCTGTGGAGGAACAAAACACATTACATTAGGAAATCTACAATAATGAATACATATGAATCAGGAGGATTGAACTTTCTTGATTTCTGTACTCTAAATAACACCTTTAAAACTAATAGTTTAGACATTTCACTCTAAATCCAAATTCTTTATGGAATTTTAGACCTAATATATATGTATATACATATCCTACACATAGACACATGTACAGTATACACACACAAACTTTTATTTAAAATTCTAACTTTTGGGGGGGAAAATTTTTTTTTTAAGGATGTAAATCTAAAACACACTCTTTCTCTCTCTCTCTAATTATTAGTCAAAAATTTGTAAGAAAATGATTTTCCCCCTTTTTGCTATGTTCTCTCTTCAAACATTTCCATTGAAATTCTGTTCTGAGATATAGATGATAGCTAGTAAGAGTGACTTCATGCGTAGACAGACGTGCTGTAAACTAGCCAGTGTCGACTGTGCAATTTGTGAGACTGTCAAATGCTAGAGGTAATCAAAAGGCCACCAGCTTCACGTCTCAGATATTTCCCCTTCCTTAAATGTTTCTTTTGACATGAGCACAAATCACATTCGGAATATCTCCCTCATTCTGTCTTATCCAAGCAGAAAGCTCAGGAAAATGACTGCGCTGGAGTGATTTCAGGAATGATTGATTCTGATCTGCATGGGTCACTGTGTCTTTATGCAGGTTCAGCGCATTGGGTTTGAGGGCCAAAACTCTAAAAAATTCAATGTGGTCTTTGGATAAGGTTTCAAAAATATATCCCATCAACTGAGCAGTGCTGGCAGGCGGAGCAGACCAAAAGGTCGAAACCTTGGAAGGATGAGCCTCGCTGTGAAGTTTGGAGCAGAGCTGGAGATTTCTGGCCTGAGATGGTTCACCCCATGCTGAGAAGCACAGCGTAAAAAGTGACTTTTATAACTCGATGGACTGTTGATGTTTTAAAACATTGTGAAAGTGAAAAAGAGGCTGTGCTTTACATAATAAAGACGCTTGACAAAATATTTCAAGCCAAATGTAATCTTTATTTTTCTGTTTCTGTACAAAAAGCACGGGATCACAGGAAAAAAAAAACTGAAAAAGAAATGAAGGAAAAACATGCATTTATTTACAGCATGGTCAAAGAGAAAAAAGGAAAGTAGAATACATCTCCCTTTCTGAATTCTAAAGACATTAATTAAACATTGTGCTTTGATATATTTTGATATAATATTTCATATTTCACAAAGATGCATCACCTTTCTCCATTTCACCTCGAAGTCAACATTTCCAAAGAAAACAGGTTTTGAAAAAGAAAACAGAAGCCAGCTCTCTACATCTATGACAAAAAACCTTTCACAAGCTATTAGGAAACTGAATGCATGGGTGAAATGGATGGACACGTGTGTGTGTGTGTGTGTGTGTGTGTGTGTGTGTGTGTGTGTTTCCAGCCAGAGATGTTTTCATGTGAACTTTGAGATTGAATTCAGCTGTTTTAATATAATAGGGCACTGTCATATTGTATTTTCTTTACCCCATTTATGTCTAAACCCCAAAAGGATGAATGTGAAGTAATTAGGTCACCTGTGAAATTAAAAGAGGTCTTCAGAAACCACCATTTCTTTCACATTACATTGTAGCAAACACACACCTTCACTCACTTCAGGAAAATAGAGAAAACTCATGACTGGAATATTAAAATTACACTGATTCCAAGTTGTCAGTCTGCGATATTTAATTGTAAATAGAAACAAAACCAAACATGACAAAAAAAAACACATTCATGAAGATGACAACCTGCAATGCGATGATTACTGAAGTCACATTTCCTCAATGATTTTCCAAATTTTCCCTACTAAGACCTAAAACATTGCCTTTTCGAAAGTATTTAAATGCATCATATCACAGACGATTTTTTTGATTTGTGATTTAACATACACTGTCCTGGAGACACATTCATGAAGATGACAACCTGCAATGCGATGATTACTGGTCACATTTCCTCAATGATTTTCCAAATTTTCCCTACTAAGACCTAAAACATTGCCTTTTCGAAAGTATTTAAATGCATCATATCACAGACGATTTTTTTGATTTGTGATTTAACATACACTGTCCTGGAGCGCATCCTGTTTTAAGGCATCATTATATCTCCTTCCATTGATGAATTTCACAGCTAATCCACTGAAATGTGGATTGCGAGTTGCATTTAAATACAAATTGCATAACTTGTGCATGTGTGTGCAACAGCTAACAATATCACCAGCAACACTGACATCAATTAATTTTTCCACGTCAAAATGTGCTCCATTTCAGGTTTGGACTTCTCTGATGTGATCCATTTCTGGACATGTGATACATTAAACATGGCATATTTATCAGCACATTAGATAGAAATTTTGACTTTTCACCAGTCGACGCTATGTGGCGAAACAACCCATATCTAATATAAAATAAACCTCAACAAGGGCAGATAAGTATTATGGAAACATTTTAGAAACATTAACAAAATCACATGATGAACGATTAGCCATTTCAGTTATCATGACCAAAGCAAAGAGTAATCAATCCAAAAAATCATCTGAAAACATACTGGTGCATATTTGTATAAGTTTTACATTTTTTGTTCTTTTTTATTATTATTATTATTTTCATCTGCTTGCTAAGATACATAGCTCTTGTAAGTGCCCCAACAAAAATAGTGCATTAGGAAATAACTATGATCATACACGTTTCACGAGAACACACGAGACAAGAGAAGGAACAACAACACAAATACATTTTGCAAAAAGAAAACATTAAATATACGATTGAAAAAAATGTTTTGTCAGTTTCTTTTCTTTTTTTTTTTTTTTTTTTGGGTCATTTTAATACTATTTTACACTAATTTGCCCCAACATCACCACCTGCATGTAAATCAAAATCATTTTTATTTATTATTTATTGAAATGTAATGTTATTATTATTAATTTATTTTTTACTTCATTGTAAAAGCAACCAGTCTTATAAGTAGAAATTTATGGATCAACTTTGACCTCAAAAATTATGTTGAGAACAGCTGTGCTGCTAAGTTTTTTTTTTCTTTGTGAAAAATGTGAGGAAATAACTATGATCATACACGTTTCACGAGAACACACGAGACAAGAGGAGGAACAACAACACAAATACATTTTGCAAAAAGAAAACATTAAATATACGATTGAAAAAAATGTTTTGTCAGTTTCTTTTCTTTTTTTTTTTTCTTTTTTTTTTACAAAAGTGGTGGAACTTTGCACCCTGCTTTGAAAAAACAGGTGTCCTGGTCATGTCCGGACTTTTTTTTTTTTTTTTTTTTTTTTTTTTTTAAAAAAAAAAAAAAAAAAAAAAAAAAAGTGTAATCCCTTTTATTTTTCACTCTTTTTACAATATCTAAAAGGTATTAAGACATCAAATGTGTTGACATAGATATTTGATACTATTATTCAGGCCTAACTCACCAAAGAAATCCTGAAACAAACTTTATAAATACATACAAAAAAGCACAATAAGAAATTCAACAATAAGTCTGGTACCTAAATGTGATTAAAACTGCAGAAAGCATTCCTGGCTTAAATCTACCTATCCACACACCTGGAACTATACTGGAACTACAGAAACGGTATGAGTAAAAATGACTGACATCCATCATCCTGATGATGACTAAATTACAGTCTGGGATCATTTTGTGTTTGTTTGTCCATCACTCTGTTCTCATTTGATGGTTTAAAACAAAAGCGAAAGGAAATCAAATCAGCTTGATGTTAAAAACCGAAGACACTGCATTTCGTAATTAGGAGTGAATCATTTCTGAATGACCTTTTGAGCCGTCACAGACCCATCTGGATGAGTGGCATCTCTCTTCTCACAGTGGAAACAGGACAGACATACAGTATGAAACGAACGGTCTACAGACAACATCAGCCATGCAAAGAAGCCCCTACGGCCGTGGATGTATCAAAACCTCGGCTTCTTGTTCACATTGCGATAATATCCAGCTTTTATGCTTCCTGTTCGAAATGCCACCCGGTATGGCGAGTATCCAAGGATGAAGTCATAGAGGGCAAAACAAACACATCTATTGACATTTCAGGACATGGGACATTTTCAGGCCAGGTATACTTTTCCTTTTTTTTCTTTTAGCAATCCAGGTATTGATGTTCTTTTCGGGCAGCTCCTCATAGGACTGGTGAAGTTCGATAAGAGAGTGTCAGACAAATTTGGTGAGCCAGTGAGTTTGTTGTGGGCTCAATGAAGCCTTAGAAGAAGGTTAGGTTCCTCTTCACATGGGAGGGACAATCAGACCGGCCATAGCTGGAAGAGAAAAACAACTAGAGGTCAGTCGACAATAAAAGAGACGGTTCAAACAACACATGATCTATCTGAACCATAAAATGACTGGTTTATGGTTATTATAGGTCAATATTGCAGCTCATTCCACAGTTGGTCTGGACTGAGGAATATTTTTAGCGAATGGCTGTAGTTAAGCAAACACTTCTACACTTTAGTGCTTTAAAGTTAAGAGTTTCCTTCTAGAACTAGATCTGCAGTCAATACTGCAGCATCTTGAGACAGATTTTGGTTTCAAAACATGCAAATAACATGGAAAATGATCATCTTTTATGAATATGTTTTCTTTTACAAAAATGGGTCATTTTAATACTATTTTACACTAATTTGCCCCAACATCACCACCTGCATGTAAATCAAAATCATTTTTATTTATTATTTATTGAAATGTAATGTTATTATTATTAATTTATTTTTTACTTCATTGTAAAAGCAACCAGTCTTATAAGTAGAAATTTATGGATCAACTTTGACCTCAAAAATTATGTTGAGAACAGCTGTGCTGCTAAGTTTTTTTTTTCTTTGTGAAAAATGTGATACATGCAACCTGAGGTAATTTTGATATTATTTTAATCTAATTTGCCCCAACAGACATCACCACCAGTGTGAAAAACAGCATTTTCACTATTTATTTACTTATTTACTATTTTTGTTTTTCAGCAAAAACAACCAATCTTATAAGTAGAAAGTTATGGATCAACTTTGTCCTCAAAAATGTAGTGCCCTTTTTTTGTGACTCGTTCTAAAATAGGGTCTTGTTTCCTGATCGGCTCAGAGGCAGGAGAGGGGTGGGGTGCTCACCCTGTATACTGCTCCCATTGGTGCTGGTGCAGGTGGGGGGCGGGGAGGTCTGTGGCCGGACGACAGGCGCGAAGGCGCTCTTCTGTTTGACTGCAGAGATCATATGGACAGGAGAGAATGAGAAAGGGCCCGCAGACAGAGAGATGGAGGTAGGGATGCATGAAGAAGAGGAGGAAGAGGAGGCATGAGGCTCCAATAGAGGACTGGAGGGGGTGACTGAAACAGACACACACACACAGAGAAACACACACACCCGCACACACACAAAGATGAGAGTTATGAGGTGGGTCATGCCGATTGTTAGAGGGTTAATAGAAGTGGAAGGGCTATGGCAGAGTGAGGCATTATGGGAATGAAACCGTGTGCTACCTGAATGGCAAAGTTGATCCATAACTTAGAACACTTGAGGAGGATTTATGTCAATTTAGTCCACATTTGACTGCCAAATCACACTTTTGCTGAAGCATCAACATGAAAACCGCTCTTGTATTGACACACGAATACGTAAAGCATGCCTGGAGATGATATTATCAGGACATCTAATATACGGTCATCTGCATGCTTTGAGAGAAAGACAGGTAATAAAAACCACTGTACACTAGCCAACAATCTTGGCACTGAATCTTGAGCAGAAAGCTTGAGCTCTCTCACCAAATTGGAGCAAAACCCACAATGAATTTTCTTCAATGAAATTCCAATTGAAAACTCTTGCCAACTTGTTTCCCATTTTTATAATGAATGGAAAGCAAACCTGCCATGAAACAGCTTTGCACAAAGCTCGGCCTGCCAAACAAGTGCCAATCACACAAAATACAGCTGCTATGTATCGAATATATGAACAGTCCTGAGTATATAAACCTCATTTGTAATTGTCAGACCTCTAGCATTGTGATCCCCCCCCCAAAAAAAGTAGCAGCAGACCACAGGAAAGTGCAGACAGAAAGCTCACTATCCTGACCGCAGTGAGAAAGAATGTGACGGAGTGAGATGCAAGGAGGAGTCATTAAAATGTTAGACATGAAAGGAGATGAAAAAATATGAGTGTTTGTGGAGTTAGTTCGGATGGAGACGTTCACAGTGCATGGAACAGCAGACAGACAATACCTTTCCCTCAAAGAACACAAATAGACAAACAAACAACCTTAGCATTTCAGATTAGCATTAAGATGCTGACTGAGTTGCGACCAAATATGCTTGTTGTGATACCCAAAATCACAAATAGTCGAATTTAGCTGGTTAAATCCAACAAATCAGAATCCAAAACATGCAGTGAAGAGTTAACAACCCTGCTGAAATGACTAGCATGTAGTATCTAATATTTCCAGGCTGGTTTGTAGCTGATCAATCAGTCTACACTCTAAAGGTTCTTTATTTGCCTCTATGATTCCATGAAGAGCCTTTACCCTTTCCATTCCACAAAAGGTTCTTTATAATGGAAAAAGTTTACTAGTATGTAAAAAATAAAGAACCATCATAAAGAATAATTCTTCTTAAAAGAACCATGTTTTTCTTAGTGTGAAGAACATTTTAATCTAAAGAACCCTTTTGCACTATAAGAAACCTTTTTGTGCAATGGAAAGTTTCCATGGATGTTAAAGGTTCTTTATGGAACCATCAATGCCAATAAAGTATTTCTAAGAGTAGACCAATTCTGGTTCCCCAAAGAACCTTTCAGTGAACATTTCTAATACATAAAAGATAATTTTTAAGAGTATACATGGCATTGCTGTGAAAACTTCCTTAGCTGGTAGAGGCTTGAGACTGGCTGAAAGTTAAAAAAAAAAAAAAAAAAAAAAACTAGTGGGTGGGATCCCTTGGTAAGTGTGAGAACATTTTAAAGATTTCCGGCTGCTGTTAAGAAAGCACTCAGTACAGCAGTCAAACAAAACTTTGTCTATGTTCCCATAAGCAGTGTGTGTGTGTGTATGTGTATTGCGGGTTTTGGACTATTTTCACATGGCAGACAATATGACAAACAGGTCCCGGACCATACTGAGAAACATGGATAACACAGAGACTTGAGAGTGGACTCTTTTGACTTAAGCCAGTAAGTAACAAAACCTAGCAACCACCAAAAACACCCCAGCAATAACCCTGCACAACATTGGCCTGCTAGTCATCACAACATACATGCAAGCATTGTGGTAAGTTTTGAACAGACATTTCTTAAGGAAACATCATATTCTTGATTTCTTTTTCCTTTTTTCCCCTGTACTATTCACAGTCAGCCAAAACTAAACAGGAAGTGAAGAGAGACAGAGAGCTTTGAAGAGAGCATTTGGCATCCATCTATGTCCACACTCTAGCCCTTAAGCCTAATTCTCATATCGAACAGTTGAGAAAGAAAGTGAGAGAGAGTATCAAGAAGAAGTAGTGTGTGTGTGTGTGTGTATTGCGGGTTTTGGACTATTTTCACATGGCAGACAATATGACAAACAGGTCCCAGACCATACTGAGAAACATGGATAACACAGAGACTTGAGAGTGGACTCTTTTGACTTAAGCCAGTAAGTAACAAAACCTAGCAACCACCAAAAACACCCCAGCAATAACCCTGCACAACATTGGCCTGCTAGTCATCACAACATACATGCAAGCATTGTGGTAAGTTTTGAACAGACGTTTCTTAAGGAAACATCATATTCTTGATTTCTTTTTCCTTTTTTCCCCTGTACTATTCACAGTCAGCCAAAACTAAACAGGAAGTGAAGAGAGACAGAGAGCTTTGAAGAGAGCATTTGGCATCCATCTATGTCCACACTCTAGCCCTTAAGCCTAATTCTCATATCGAACAGTTGAGAAAGAAAGTGAGAGAGAGTATCAAGAAGAAGAGAAAATATTGATTTAAGAAAAAAAAGAAATATATAAAAATAAAAATGCACTGCAAAAATTCATTTAAGCATTAATCTAAATTTCTGAAGTCATATTATTTTAATACCAGATATTGATCCAAACTGTATTTTTTTAAAACATATAACTCACAAAGAAAATGCAAATTTATCTGGTTTTAAATATGTCTAACTAGAAAACAAGAAACAAAGCAGATTATGACAAAAAAATTACTAACTGACAAATCAACATCCTTTTAACATGTCAGAGTCACATGAGCAGCAACATGACTGCCATTATAAGCTGCAAATATCATTCGTTAGCAGAGTCGATGCTGGTTAATCTGAGACCTTCCCTAAATAAGCTGTGCTCCTATGTGGTTTAATAAGCTGCAGGAAAGAGTTGGTGTTTTCTGTAAATCAGTTTGTAACTTAATTAGAACTTGAAACAATAATTAGTTTGATGGATGAACGAGTGGAGCAGAAGGCTGACCGAATTAAATCCTGCTGAAGTTTCTCTGCATACAAGCATGAAGTATGAAATGCAATATTTTTATAATGGCTAACGGCCCTTTCCCATGACCTCATGGATTCCTGTAGGTGTTCCTTTCCTGCGTGAATGAGGAAAACAGACGAGAGGAAAACGGGATGAGTGCTAGCAGGAGAGAAAGCAGAGGGCGCCAAGGGAGAGAGAGCTCCTCTGTCTTCCTGTGTGTCTCTCTCTCTGATATAAGGAGAGTGATCTGTTCATCTCACATCCATTCCTACTTCCTGTCTGTGAGTGTCAGAGCTGGTGGGTGAAGAGAAACATGGCCCGACGCTGCGATATTGAAAACACACTTGTGCTTGGAAATGCTCACACACAGGGTATGAAACACACATATTCAAGTCCAAAGGAAATGGCAATTCTGTTTAGTGATGCTAACGGTGTGGAAATGACATAATTAATACATTTCAAGCAACTTTTTACAGATTTTAGCTGCATTTTAGGCAATATTAAGAATACAATGTGTACATTTTATCCTTCTATGTGGAATCAATCAGCTTTAGCAGTCAGCTCATGTTACAATATTATTACAATTTAAAATAACATTTTCTATTGGAATATATTTTAAAATGTAATTTAGTACTGTGATGGCAAAGTTATGTGCTGTGCTTATAAACTGTGTTTGAATTTGCAAATTGAGTGTTTCATTCTTGTAGCGCTGTCATCCTGAGTCTCTCAGCTCGTTCACAGCCTGTGCCGCTCACACTTCTCGCAGGAGTGACAGGGAGTGTGTACACACATAGACTCACTCTGATGAACGTGTCGTTTCTATGGGCAGGTGAGTGTGAGTGGCAGTTTTGAGTGCTGTGGGTGACAGGCTTGCCAAAACACAGCCATGCAGTCACCATGTACATTGCTGCTAGTCCAGGGCTGCAGGTGGGTGTGAAGCTCACCAAAATACACATTAACAGACCCAGACAAGGACTGACAGACCGTGTGACTGAATTTAAGTGTTGAGGTTGTCGAGCAGCTTCGACTTTCGTGAAGTCATGTCTCAATCAAACCCAGTCAAACACTTTCTAGGGCTGTCAATGCAACACATTAGTGTGATTAGTTCGAAAGAAAATAGTGTGATAAAAATATTAACACAATTAATCGTGCCCCTTGATCTGTATGTAAATGAAGTTCCGCCTTTAATCGAGTTTTGATTGTAAAATAGTTTGCTGTGAACTTTAAGCCAGTGATAAGCTTCATGTTCAATGATATAAAACAAACAATATACTGACTTCTAAATATTGATATATGCGATTCATTATTTTTTTTTAATTGCTCGACAGCCATACATGCAAGTGTTTGAATGTGTGATTTGGGACTCACAGCACACACTGACCTTGGTCTCCCTGTGAGGCCTCAGAGATGTTGACGGCGAGCTGGCTGCTGAAAGAGTTAACTCCCATCATGCCCGAGTGAGCGCTGGAGCCTGTCAGTGAGGGCAACTGGTTATGGCTCCGCGGCACGCTGTACAGCACCTCCGTCAGGTCTGCAGCACGCTTTAAAATGATCTCCTGACCAATCCAGAGAGAGAGAGAGAGAGAGAGGTGTTGAAACGATACGCAGTGGTTCTCAATGGGTTCTGATTCAAGATATTACATTACATGAAAGAAAGCAATAATATCTTTAAATAAATTTAATTAATAATATAATTAATTATTATGTATTAATCCAAGAATATTTTAGCATTATATATAGTTTAAGAATTATATTTGATGACTATTATAATCTTATTTAAATTGTAATAATTATCAAATAAAACTATTTTATTTACCTTATATAAATATGAAGTTATTTAAAAATATAAGTTGTTAAAAATGTAATGTTCTTATTATGTTACATTATTCTAATTTTATTTACATTATAGTAGTTACAAAATATTTAAATATTATTGTTTGTGCATTAGTAATAAATAGTATTACTGATGTTAAGTATTGATTGATTGTGTGTGTGTGTGTGTGTGTGGGTGTGTGTGCGTGTGTGCGTGTGTGTGCGTGTGTGTGTGTGTGTGTGTGTGTGTGTGTGTTCTGGTATATATGGTTTATGAGGACACAATGAAGATACTTACTGTGTCCAGTAAACCAAAATGGTTAAAAAAAAAACATACAAAATGGTGTTCTTTGAAATTCCAAAACTGCCAGTAGTTTCTTGTGAGGGGTAGGTTTAGGTGTAGGGTGATAGGTATATATATATTAAGCATATGCAAGAATGTGTGTGTGTGTGTGTATACTGTATACTGAATATATATATATATATATATATATGTATATATATAATGAAAGAAACTTGAACATTTTCAGCTGGCTAGATATAAAATCATCAACTTAATTTGTAGTGATTTTCATACCTGATTGTTATGAGGCATTCCATACAGTGCCTCCACCAGATCTGCGGCTCTTTTCAGAAGAACCTCCTAATAACACACACACACAAACACAGTTTAGTCCAACACTCCACCTCTGGTACCATAAATCCACATGGCTTGCATCTCAAACAGCACAGCACATTCGTGAAAAGTAAGTGGCGCACCATAAAACAGCATCATTATATTAAATTATTAAATCAAATTCATTATGTTTTAAATTTAACCAAAGTTGTTTACTATATATAAGCAAGCCATGTTCAAAAACGAGAAACCAAACGTGATGAGGTGGATAGAAAAAGAAGCTGTCGGAATCTCATTTACACCAACCTGTCACACACACACAAAGCCACACAGAACACACACTCAACCTGTGCCAAATCACAGAAGCAGTGATCCAGGGCTGCGATCCTTTCAGACTGTACACATATGCTCCACTGTCATTCTTCACACGGCGTGTGTGACTGTGTGTGTTTGTGAGTGTTATCCTGTAGTGTTCCTGTGTAAGTCACACATCTCCACTGGCCCACAGACTCTCACTCTGGTCTTACTAAGAGTACCGAAACTAAGACAGGACATAAGCATCTTTCAATGGCTTCTTGTGCATACTTGTTTTCCATCTGCTACATCTGTACTGAATTAAAGTCAAATTTTTTGACATTTTATCTCCTGTCTTCACACCCGCGGCACCTCCTTTCCACTTCACATGGAAGCATCAAATCACCACTCTTGCCCAACACTTTGTTTCCATCTATTTAACTTTTTACAATAATTTCTTTCATTTCTACTCAATGTTTTTATGAGCGCATCAGTACACATTATTGCAAGAAATAATGAATGTACTCATTAAATAAAGAAATAATGAATATATACATGTCTTGTCCCACTGATCCTTAAAAGAATTATTCTAATATGCTGATTTGGTGCTCAGAAAAAGAAATATTATCACAGTTGTGCTACTTAATATATGTGTGAAAACTGTAATACTTTTTTTCAGTAATTTTTTTATGCATAGACATTTTAAAATAACAGCATTTATTTTCATTTACAATAACTACATTTATATTGTTGCAAAAGATGTCTGTCACTTTTGATCAATTTAATCATAAAAAACTTGCTGACTCGAATTAAATCAAAATATAAATAAACAGAAAATTGAAATTAAAAGTGACCACAGCTGTGAATAATGAGTTAATTTTCAAAAAAAAATTTAATATAGCACATATGGACCATGATGCTTTATAGTGTGTTTTTCTGCTTTTGAAGCTTGAGAGACTCTGGTCACGATCTACTTTCATTGTAAAGAAGAGAGCCGCTCAAACATTCTGCTAAACATCTCTTTTTGTGTCCCACAGAATAAAGAAAGAAAGTAATAAATGTTTAAAATGACAAGCCTAGTACACACTGTAGATAAATGTAGATTTGAATGATCCAGTATGATCAGGCTGAAGAGGAGGATTGCTCTCTCTCTCTCTCTCTCTCTTTCACACACACACACGAAAGGGTTGGAAGAAAACAAAGGAAAAAAGACTCGAGGGACGGAGAGAAGACAGAAGAAGACAAAGTGAGGGAAATGTGCACAAATAAAGTGGAAACGAGTGAGTGAGTGAGTGAGTGAGTGAGTGAGTATGTTAGGAGGAGAGAGAGAAAGAAAGAGAGAGGGAGAGAGATGAAGAGGGGAAGTTCTAGTTGTTTTTCTCCCTCAAGTGTTGCCAGGTAAGAGGCAGCTGGGGTTGCTGGCAAACCTATCATTACTGTACTGTGAGAACAACAGCCTGTGTCTGTACATACACAATAGAAATATTACGCTAATTCTACATTATGCATGTTGAAATAAAAACTTAAATTCCCGTAAATAATACTTAAGATTGTTTGTTATATTTACAACCCTCAAGTACGGTCTCGATGCCAAAAAAAAACAAAAAAAACCTGGTAATATTTATTGACAAATATCAGTATATTCCAAAGGTATAAAATCAAGTAAAATACACGTAGCTTTACAATGCTGGTGTTCCCAGCATGCACCAGGGCATGAATAATTAATGAGGTTGTGTATTTTGTGTTTATACTGTTTGGCAGTTTTATTTACAGTAGTGTTAATGATGAAATTAGATTTTTTTTTTAAGTTTAGTAACTTGTTATTATATATAAATAGCATACAAAACATTTTAAACTAAATAAGTCTCTCTCTCTCTCTCTTTCACACACACACACACACAATGTTCAGAGACAGAAAGAGAGGTGTGGAGGTGATACAGAGGAAGCCAGAGCTGGTATTATGGCAACCTCTACTGGAGCTCCCTGGGGTATTACACTGAAACCTACCCCCCCACCTCCCCCACCCCTCCACCCATCCACACACACACACACACTTCACATGACTGTATGAGGAGAGAACGGAAAACAAAGAGCGAGACAGATGAAAGTATAGAGTAAACACAGACAAAGAGAACTACAGATGCAGTTCATGAAATCAGGATAAAATGGCAGAAAAAAAAAACAGGTTGGCAGAGAGCAGGACAAAAAAAGGAAACGGCAGAGTAATTGTAAATCTCATGACGAGAGGTGAAAGTGAGAGATGCAGACAGAAAACAGCGCTGAAAGATGAGCAAAGGGGTAAAGGGTTGGAAGAAAACAAAGGAAAAAAGACTCGAGGGATGGAGAGAAGACAGAAGAAGACAAAGTGAGGGAAATGTGCACAAATAAAGTGGAAACGAGTGAGTGAGTGAGTGAGTGAGTATGTTAGGAGGAGAGAGAGAAAGAAAGAGAGAGGGAGAGAGATGAAGAGGGGAAGTTCTAGTTGTTTTTCTCCCTCAAGTGTTGCCAGGTAAGAGGCAGCTGGGGTTGCTGGCAAACCTATCATTACTGTACTGTGAGAACAACAGCCTGTGTCTGTACACACACAATAGAAATATTACGCTAATTCTACATTATGCATGTTGAAATAAAAACTTAAATTCCCGTAAATAATACTTAAGATTGTTTGTTATATTTACAACCCTCAAGTACGGTCTCGATGCCAAAAAAAAACAAAAAAAACCTGGTAATATTTATTGACAAATATCAGTATATTCCAAAGGTATAAAATCAAGTAAAATACACGTAGCTTTACAATGCTGGTGTTCCCAGCATGCACCAGGGCATGAATAATTAATGAGGTTGTGTATTTTGTGTTTATACTGTTTGGCAGTTTTATTTACAGTAGTGTTAATGATGAAATTAGATTTTTTTTTTAAGTTTAGTAACTTGTTATTATATATAAATAGCATACAAAACATTTTAAACTAAATAAGACATGCAAATAATAAAAAGTTTAAGAAAATAAATAAAATCTTAATCTCACTTTTCAGTGTATTGTTGTTAATTTTAGCTAAAGGGTTGGAAGAAAACAAAGGAAAAAAGACTCGAGGGATGGAGAGAAGACAGAAGAAGACAAAGTGAGGGAAATGTGCACAAATAAAGTGGAAACGAGTGAGTGAGTGAGTGAGTGAGTATGTTAGGAGGAGAGAGAGAAAGAAAGAGAGAGGGAGAGAGATGAAGAGGGGAAGTTCTAGTTGTTTTTCTCCCTCAAGTGTTGCCAGGTAAGAGGCAGCTGGGGTTGCTGGCAAACCTATCATTACTGTACTGTGAGAACAACAGCCTGTGTCTGTACACACACAATAGAAATATTACGCTAATTCTACATTATGCATGTTGAAATAAAAACTTAAATTCCCGTAAATAATACTTAAGATTGTTTGTTATATTTACAACCCTCAAGTACGGTCTCGATGCCAAAAAAAAACAAAAAAAACCTGGTAATATTTATTGACAAATATCAGTATATTCCAAAGGTATAAAATCAAGTAAAATACACGTAGCTTTACAATGCTGGTGTTCCCAGCATGCACCAGGGCATGAATAATTAATGAGGTTGTGTATTTTGTGTTTATACTGTTTGGCAGTTTTATTTACAGTAGTGTTAATGATGAAATTAGATTTTTTTTTAAAGTTTAGTAACTTGTTATTATATATAAATAGCATACAAAACATTTTAAACTAAATAAGACATGCAAATAATAAAAAGTTTAAGAAAATAAATAAAATCTTAATCTCACTTTTCAGTGTATTGTTGTTAATTTTAGCTACAGACTTCCCCCCAAAAAAGTGTGAAAAATAATATTAAACTAAATACAACATAAACTAAATAAGACATGCAAATAATAAAAAGTTTAAGAAAATAAATAAAATCTTAATCTCACTTTTCAGTGTATTGTTGTTAATTTTAGCTACAGACTTCCCCCCAAAAAAGTGTGAAAAATAATATTAAACTAAATACAACATAGTTTAAATAATAAGTAAATAAATTTAAGTAAAAATTAAGTAAATCTTATTATTATTTTGTGCATTGTTGTTAAATCTAAACTTTTCGTAACTTTAAAATAAATCTGAAAAAAGTGTGAAAAATAATATTAAACTAAATACAACATAGTTTAAATAATAAGTAAATAAATTTAAGTAAAAATTAAGTAAATCTTATTATTATTATTTTGTGCATTGTTGTTAAATCTAAACTTTTCGTAACTTTAAAATAAATCTGAACCTTTTTAGAAGTGAATAAAGAACATTAGCTCGCAAATAAGTAATAAGAAATATATTTAATTAAAAATAATTTAATATAAATTGCATCATATAAATTATAACCATATAATTAATTACATAAACTATAAACTATCATTTAAACTAACCTTAAAATAAAGCTTTAAAAATTTACTGAATAAAGATATTTATATATTTATATATTATTTAATCTCTTTATAAACCATTTAATCTTCTGAAGTTACAAAAAATCTGATTTTTCTAGGGCACTTTTAGACATTTTGTCCCCAAAACTGTATCTAGGCCAGAAACAAACACACACAAATGGACCTAAAATACACAAATATGCCTTAATACATGCAGAAATGTAAAACCCATGCTGGAACATTAGCTCTCGGGTTTCTCACATCTATGTCATGCAAACATAAGCAGGGCCTGCATCTGTGAAGTGCAGCTCTTAGTGACTGTTTTATGCCAGGCCACGAGGCCCTGAAATTGAACACTTTCTGGCTGAGTTTCTGAACACACTGTGTGGAAACTGTTACATTTACGAGGAAGAACAACAGTGGCCTTCAGATCAGGCGGAGAGGCAGAAACAGGCTCAGGAAACCACCGAATATTGTGATATTCCTTTGAATTTTAGCTTTAAGAGCTCATCTGGGACTGTGTTTGTGTGGTAGTGCACAACATACACGCACGCAAGAGAGGATTGGGGGGCATATGGAGATGGGGGCACTAAGCTTCCTCCTCCTCCTCATCCTCATTGACTTGCATTTCCCACGACAAAATATGACCTTAGAACTAACAGTCCTCCCCCAGCCAATCAACAACGAGCAGTAACGATCTTCACAGATGGCTCAAGTCAATGACAAACATGGGGCGAGAGAGAGAGAGAGAGAGAGAGAGAGAGAGAGAGAGAGAGAGAGAGAGAGAGAGAGAGAGAAAGAGAGAGAGAGTCCCTGTTACAGCTGAGACCTTGTGCTCTGTTGTTCTTGCATTATTCAATCTAATGTATTTATTCAACCTTTACATTAGTTACAGTGTAATGAGTAGGGACTCTATTTGTAAAAAAAGATTAAAAAGATATAATTAGAACAGAACACAAACAAGAGATCACCTTGAAACCCACATAAAGCAAGACTCAGCAACATCATTACTGTACATTTTCCATAATAAAGACATCTTGTGAAGTATTTACTCACTTTAATCTAGGGTTATTACAGTTAACTAAAACTAAAATTAAAACCATTAAAAAACATTTTCGTTACATAAACTTAAGTCATCTTGAAGCTTGTAAGTGATCAGATTTAACGATATTTGCCTGGTGGACAATAAAAGTTTTTAAAAAAAGCAACCACCTAACAACACCAACCCAGAACACTCTCCACTGCAAACATCCCACTCACTTTTTCTATGAGAAATGTTGTTTGATTTTTATTGTAGATTTTGTTATTTTACTGCAGCTGCTAAAATTAATATTAATAATAATGCTTATTAATATACATGATTAGTATTAGTAAAAAAGTGTTTTTCAATGTTCCATGACTTTATGTACGGGAAAAAAAATATCCATACAATAACAGCTCATATTGACCATGTCTTAAAAAAAATGTCCACACAACATAATTCATTGTTATTCTTTTCCTTGAATTTCCTAGAGAACCATCTTAAATTTAGATATATTCCACACACAATGCTATTGTTTTGCTTCAGAGGTGACGTTTTTTTAAGATCAGTATGTAAATCATATGACTTTCAGTTGGGTCAACTAAATAAAAATAAATATATTGGTAATTTCACCTTTACACAATGTTCTTTGGTCTTCCAACTCAAATAGCCTCTGTACAGTTAGTCAAACATCAAAATGTAGGACATCTTGCAAAATTATTAACCTGAAAAGTTGCATAATTCATAAACAACAGCAGCAGTATGACTACTAAAAACATTTTTGCTAATTGAAACAAAGCTGAAATAAAATTACATTTTAAAACTAACTGAAAGTTAGAAACTAACTGAAGTAAGTTTATGCTGAAGCATTAAAATCACTAACTGGAAATAAATAAAAACTAAAACGGAAACTGAAACTGAAATAAAAATATCCCTAATTAGTCATAAATAAATGACAAAAGCACATTAAAAATGTATAATGAAAACTGAAAATATAAAATAAAAGCTAATTACAATGTTTAATAAAACTTTAGTACATAGATAATATTAAAATAACACTTGGGCAAATATTGTTTTAGTATTGGCCATATTACCAAAAGATTTGTGTAAAATGTGCACTGAAGTACCATAAAGTTTGTTTCGATGCATCCCTAAAGTCAAAAACAAAAGATATCTCCCTTCCCTTTAAAAAAGGTATTTTTTATTATCCTAACTATGTGCAATTATATGCACAGATGCATTTCATTATTTGCATTTTGCATCGTTATTAGCATTAGCATCATCTGTAAAATATAAAAAAGTTATTTGTGGAACACCGGCCGGTAAAACTCTTTTCAGTTCTAATTGGAACCTTTATTTTTAAGAGACAGGCCAGAAAGGGTTTGGACTCGGAGAGATTCGCTCGGGGAGGCATGTGAGCGGCTCCCTCCCCTGAGAGGTGTTCTGGATGAGCTGGATTCATGTCTGCATGTTAATCTCTTCACTCTACCTGCCAAAAGGCAGAAAGCACGTGTTACGGCGCATTGAGATGCTGTGTTCCTCTCCTTTTCCTTTTCACAGACCTCCACAGCACAGCATCACAGCATGAAACCATCTCAACACTCCCGGCCCCCCGCTGTCTGTGTGTGTGTGTGAAGTGTATGTGGGTGAATGGGGCACGAGGAGTCGCTCAGACGCTCTACAGTTCATTCAGCACAGGTAACAAGGTGAGTCTGTTTGACTCTAGATTGGCCCGGCTCTCGGCTCTCTAACCCTTGTCTTCCGACAAGCCTGTTTCTATCTTCCTCCTATCTTTTCTTCCTCCTGTTTTCCCCTTGCTTTCTTTCCAGGGGCTCAATTATGGGAGGATGGTTCTCAAGCGCCCGGCGAGAGCAGATCAGCTGACCCGGGAGAGCAAGCCATCCGACAGGTCCCTTAACAATGATAAATCACATACACACACTGAGCCTGGTGAAATGCATAACAGCGGCAATCTAACCTCCATCTCACCCTCTCAAAGTCGGCATCACACAAACAGTTGTTTTTTCATTCACAAGCCAGTGTGAGCTGCTCTTCTACGTTATCAAACAGAAGACCCTCAGGCTTTCAGAAACAAGGTTTGCTTCACAGACATAAGAAAACACTCATCCTTTTCAGCAAGACTGGAGATGCAATGCCAAATCTGAGGATGAAATATTCAACTCCCATCTAGCGAATGCTTTACACCTATTTTCAAATTGATCTCAAGTGTTTCTTTCAAATGCAGGAGAGCTTGTGTAAATCCAAAGCATGGCCAGGGAAAACTAAATCTGTGATTTTAATAGAACGGAAAAATATGCAGCGAAAGCATTTTCTGCCGACCACACTTACCTTAGGTAACCTCTCCGGGTCTCCAGGGTGACGAGGGATGACCTTTTGTAGCCTCTGGAAGCCGTAGTCTATGGTGGGTTCGTTCAGAGCTGCGGGAGAAACCGAAAATAAGAAGTTTATTTGATTTAACTGACTGCAGTTCTCTCAGAAAGAGGCCATTATGTCATCTTGTCCATTTCCCAGAGTTCTCTGCCATGATGTCCCAGAGTTCAGCGGAGTTAAATATCAGCATGCGTCTGTTTACATTTCTCCCTGTATATTTGTTTATGTTCATCCCTGTGGCATCAATCCAGGCTTACCCCTGTGTGAATTTGTTTTATGAAGTGTTTAGTGAGGCCCTATGGCCTTCCTGTCCCTCTTTACACTTCTTTATTTCCAAACTCTAACCTTTCCTGCCTAATTCAATAATTTTCTTCTCACTCAACCCTGCTCACGTTTATTTCATTCTCTCACTGCAAACAGCACCTCCGCTTAGCCATCCTTTCCCATCTCTGTCGCAATACGATGGCAGAAAGAAACACCCGGAAAGCAGTTGGGGAGATATTTCTCCATAATCAAGCCCATTAATCATAAAAGGCTGTCAAATTTGACTTTGGGGACAATTTGTCAGCCTTCTTGCCCAGTCCGCTTTTGTCACCATTGCCTCTTGTATTCTGTAAGGATGATTGACAGTCCAAATGCTAGCGAGTAGAATACCTAGTTTGCACTAATATGCATAAGTGATGCTTTCATGAATAAGAATAAGGTGGCTGTGCACGAGCAGGGGCCTCTTTTCAAAGGGCCCGGTGCCGTTTGTCGTGCGCGGCAAATAGATGTTATTACCATTATAACAATATTTGTTTTCTTTCCTCGGGAATGGGTCTCGGCGAGCTGCTAAATCAAATTTGTTTGAGCTGGTTTCACGGCGAGGAGGAGAAAAGAGCTAGCGGAGTGACAGCGGTTGCTGAGGAGGGGGTGTGTGGGGGTTTTTCTGACTCAATGCCCCCGTGAAAGTGAGGGAACAGTCTCTCAGGATGCTCTGAGTAAGGCTCTGTGGAAACGATCACGTTCCTTCTTCAAGTCGGGAGAACTGCGGTTTAATCAAATGGCAGTGTGATTAGACTCAGCAAGCGATCTACGTGCAGGTGTTTTGTTGTGTCATTTTTTGACAGTCTGCTATGCGATAATCACCGCCATCTGGATATAAGGTGTCAGGAAAAAAGAGTGTAAGACAGAAGGAGAGATAAAGAAAGAAAGAAAGAAAGAAAGAAAGGAATGGAATGAACGAATGCATGAACAAATTAACACAAATAAGAATGAATTAAAAAATGAATGAACAAACACATGAACAAATAAACGAACATACAGATGAATGAATAAGCAAAAAACCCTCAAAAGAACTAAAGATGAGGGAGAAAAGAAGAAAGGAATGAGAGAAAAGGAATGAGACATGCCATCTGGATATAAGGTGTCAGGAAAAAAGAGTGTAAGACAGAAGGAGAGATAAAGAAAGAAAGAAAGAAAGAAAGGAATGGAATGAACGAATGCATGAACAAATTAACACAAATAAGAATGAATTAAAAAATGAATGAACAAACACATGAACAAATAAACGAACATACAGATGAATGAATAAGCAAAAAACCCTCAAAAGAACTAAAGATGAGGGAGAAAAGAAGAAAGGAATGAGAGAAAAGGAATGAGACACGGGAACATCGGAAGAAGAGCTTTCATGAGAGCAATTTCACAAAGCAATCCCATAAAACTTGCACTTTAATGAACCGTTGGACAGGAGACATGAGCGGGAGGGCTTTGTCTCTCAATCACACCCCCCAAGAAATTAAGCCCATTACTTCTCTTATTAAAATCCCCCTGAACTTTGACCCCAGCGCCCCATTGGCTGCCTGCAGGGCCTCTGTTCTCTTAGCCAATCGATACGGCTGCCTCCCGCAGAGAAGTGGGAGTAATTGGAGAGTGTGTGTGCGCGGGCCGAACCCTGACCCCGCCTGCATTACACAGCCCATATGAAGATAGATTGCCTGATTTAGTGTAAACATATGCTGCAATTCTAGCCATCAGTGCCACTTTCTCCGTCGTAATTTGTATTGATTTTTTTCTCCCTTCCTCTCAGCCATCCACCCATCTTTGCTGTGCCTGACGTGCGATTGCGAAAAGGGAAAGATAATGCAGTTCGCTGAAGAGGTGGCGAGTGTATGTGTGTGTGTGTGTGTGTGTGTGTGTGTGTGTGTGTGTGTGTGTGTTGGATGAGACGAATAGAGGGATGTATATTTATTATTAATTTAATCATCTCATTGCAGGCGCTGTGGGGCTGCACATCTCTTTTCTCTCTCTCTCTCTCTCTCTCTCTCTCTCTGTTTCTTGTTTGAAGGTTATCACACACTCCACTGAGATCTACTGATGCTAAATAGAAGGTTGCTTTGGGGTGTGAGGTAACAGTGAAAGATTAATATGATTTCCTCTTTCAGATGTCCAGTGGGACGGGACAACACAATGTGCCACCATATAGGAGACAAAAAAGCATTTCCTCATATGTTGTTTGCATAACTAGATCTATTACTGTCAAGATTTTGATCATCAGCACTGCAGGGTCGAGTCTGAATCGTGTCCCCCATCATCATCGACACACATCAGCAAAACCGTTGAGCATTTGACCTCTGACATGCAGTTAACCTGCCCTGCAAACCTGCATTTGTCCTCACATATGAGCTCGCTGGAGCGCTATCTATCTAGCAAATTAGAGGTAGTGTGTGAACCTCGAAAATCAATCCCAGCATACCTCTCTGTTCTTATTACACGCTCTGCAGAAGTCAGAGGTCAAATAGGGCTGACTGGAAAACCACTCAACATGCACCAACTCATGATAGCCAGATGTAATGAGGGCAATGCTTATTAATAAAAGAGGGAGGGAAATTAAAGAGGAGAGGAACATATATACAACCAGAATGAGAGAAAAAGCAGAGAATGTAAATGAATAATTGGCTCCACACACAACACATAGGAAGCTGAATTGGGATTTGAATTGGAGTGACAAGAAAAGGAATTGCAATTCAAACAAATTCAACACAGGTAATCCCTTGTACACAATTCACAATTCAGTCAATAGAGTTTATTACAAATATATGTTTATTCCATCCATCATTCTATCTATATCTATATATCTGCTCATTCAATCCATCCATCCAGCACCGTTTCTAGCCAATTTGACGCCCTAGGCGAAATCCCTATATATATATAATTCTTTTCAGACACCAGTTGCTTGTCACATTCAAATTGGTTGTCATAGTAACGACACTAATTTGTGGAGATTCAGCGCATTGAGTTCCACAAATCTGAATGCATTATTTGTAAATTGACTGTTAAGATAAACATTTTGCACAATTTAGTATCTGTAATATCATTGTGTTGCCACTAGATGCCTGTATAGCCATATGTAACAATCCCTGGTGGCTAAGACATTGCACATAATTTACACATAAATCACACATAAATTAATTCTATTACATTTTGATTTGGATACTATATACTATACTACTACATATTGTTTAGATATTATCAATGGCTACTTTTTTGTCTTTATCTGTTTTGTGTTAAAAAAAATTTGTTTGTTTCTTGAAACATTGATTTAAAGTGTCAATTATTGCATTATTATTGGGGTCAAACCTATAAAACCCCTTTGTTACCCCAAACTACATATAAAAGCTTTATCAGTGACGTAAAAGTAACCAATGCAGCTACTTAATCATTTGCTACTCATTAACGTCCCCTTTAAATAACGTGACGCTCTGCCCTCTATGACGCTGCTCCCATTAAGCGCTGTTGGAAGTGAATGAATTGATTCAGCATTTCGACACCTCCGTAAGGAT